TTTTCTCACCTAATGGGAGATGCCTCATTGAGTTCTACTCAAGTGCTTTCTCAAATGCCCAACCATTGGGTATTTATAGAGAAAATCAACTTGTCATCCCATTCATGATCAATGTGGGACAATTGCATTTTCCTATTAATTTATTTTAATCAAAAACAAATTAATAACCAATGCAATCAATTAGTTACAAGTGCCACATGGAGAGTAGAGGGTAGGTGAGGACCATTCCAAGAGGGGGGTGGGGGACCATGGCCTTGGTGCCCAAGGCTATGCCCACAACCCTTAGTCCCCACTTTGCTCAAACCGGATCCTCCATGTGGCTGGGACAGCAGGCTGCCAGCCAGCGGCCAGCCTTGGCTGCCAAGGGAGCCTTGCTGGCGCCTGGTGCCTAGGCTGTGCTAGAAAGCCAGCCAGCACAAGCATGCGCACGGCCAGCAAGCTACGCACAGCATGCGAGCTGCTGCTGTGGCTTGGTGTGTGCTGGGCGCTGTCTGGCAAGGATGCTCGCCCATGCTACTGCTGATCCCGCAATACGCCCAGCCCAACTCTCTCACGCACAGCCATTATTGCTAGCAAGGCCCAGCCCTGCGATGATGCGTGCTTGCGAGAGGCTGGCTGCTGGGGCGCGCCATTTCCTAGCACCATGCGCAGCCTTGCACGCATGAGCCTAGCACGCTGCTATGCGAGGCACACACGCACAGCCCAGCATTCCTAGCACGCTGCTGGCTGGTGCGTGTGTTGCTTGCAATGCTGCGAAGCACTAGGCTGCCATGGTCATGTTGCTGCTGCCAGCGTCTAGCATGCTGGCAAGGTTGCTAGCGCCCAGCGTGCTAGCTAGGCTACCAGCGCCCAGCATGCTAGCTAGCATCATGAGCCTAGCATGCCTAGCATACTAGGCTTGCCTAGCCTAGCACTCACATGGCTAGGCCAATGCGAGGCTACGGCTAGGCACGTACTTGTAACTTGATTGATTTTACGTCTCGTCGAATTCTAAATTCGACTCGACTTGCGACGCTCGATCTCGACGCTCTAAGCTCGATATCCGACGTCTTTGTTCGTAAAACTCCGACGACTCATCAAAATCCTTCGGATTGATTCGTCGTCTCGGCTCGGTTGTTCGATTGGGTTCGACCCGAAGGGTTCAGTCAAGATTAAGCTGTAATATTAATTGTACATTAATATTACTGATCGGAAGCGGCCTCCACCTAGACATTCCGATCACTTGACCTTACTGAAGAATTAGCTTTCCGATAACTCTGAACCCTCTATCGGAATAATACACTTGTTGGAAGGACACCATTCCTTTCAATTTTCCCAATCAATAGCTTGTTGAGCATATTCGAAGGGACCATCATGTACAAAAATCCCGCTATAATCATTCCGTCTCCACCATAATCCTACAACAATGACATATTATTTTTAAATACATATAATTATATAAAGATTAAATTAATACATTTAACACAAAATTAACACATAAGTAATTTCTAAATTTTTTATTTGTAAATTTCATTTCAATAGTTAACGCATAATACATTTAATTTCTAAATGTACACATAATTAACACAAAATTAACACATAATTATATATAAAAGTATTCATACACATACAAAATTAAAACATAATTTTTTTTTTTTTGAAATTATTGACACATATTTAATTTACACATACAAAATTAAAACATAATTTTATTAACACATATTTAAAACATAATTTCAAAGTAAACATAATTTTGTTTTTTTTTATATATTATTAACACATATTTAAAACATAAATTTACACATACAAAATTAAAACATAATTTTTTTTTTTTTTTTGAAATTATTAACACGTATTTAATTTCAAATTTATCAAAGTTAAAAAACACAAAAAAAAAAAAAAAAAAAAACAAGAACAAAAACTTTAAATAAAATTAAAAAAAAATAAAAAATTACGAAATATGACGGTGGCGTCTGGCCGGGACACCGCCAACGTGGTTGTGGCTCCTGGCCGGGACGCCGCCACCGTGGCTGTGGCGTTCCAGCCAGACGCCACTACCATGGTGACGGCGTCCTGGCCAGGCGACACCGCCACAATGGCGGTGGTCAGGCCAGATGTCGGTCAGCACTTCGTAATTTTTTACTGCAAAGTACCTTGCTTTTCGGCGACGAAGACGGCTCTCCGGTGTCCCTCGACGATCCAGTTCTGGTCCACATTTTTCGTGAGAGAGAATTACGTTTTGGGTAAAAATTAGAAAAAGGGCAAAAGCTTCAAAGTAAAAATAATTGTGGGTTTTATGTAGAGATTTGTAGGCGATGTTTAACAAATCCCTTATTAATTTATTACACCATGAACTGAAGCTATTTCAATGCCTTAAAGCATAATATGTCTCCATTGAAAGGGAATTGTGTGTGTGTTTTTTTTTTTTTTTGGAATGAAAGAGAAAAGAGACAATTGTGTGTCAGTACTTCATTTTCTCCTTCCCCGTTATTTCTTTCTAGCACCGTTACCTCCTGGCACCATGGCCCACCACTTTTATTTCATAACTTCATCTATATTACAATTAATGCCATCCTATATGCAGCTTTGGTAAATAGGCCCTATGCGCCAAGACTTACTCCCATTTTATATTATATGCAACAAAAGTTTGGACATGGATTTTTGGACAAAATTTATTTGTAAAACTATAAGTGTTAATTATTTTAATGGTTTTTTCAATAAATACCCCTAAATGACATTTTTCAAATTCACCATATACCATTCAGTTTCATGTAATTGTCACAACATGGCCTTAATGACTAACGTCATTAACTCCGTTTGTCATTAAGGTTAATTGTGTCATGTGGCAGTCACTTATTGGTTCTTATTAATATTATTTAGTTAATTATTTAAATAATTAATTACAAAACTTTAAGAAAATTATTTTTTAAAAAAAAAAAGAAAAAAAAAAACACTCCACCACTCCGCCACCCCTAGCCAAGTTGAACCCCACCCGTGGCTGCCGATGCCTAGCTGGCCCACTCCCCAGCTGGCTGGCGCCCATTCTGCCGACCAATTTTCCCCTTTCCACGCCAGTGAAGCCCACCCTACCCCTTTCCCTTTCCCACGAACACCCCCTCCCTAACGCCACGCACCATCCTCCCATTCCCGCCACCCCAACGGACCCGATCCACCCCAAAAATGACCCTCCCCAAAACGACCCCCTCCCCTGTTCGCCAACCCCGAAACCCTAACTACACCTGGAACAACCCTGAAAACCAACCCCGCTTTTTAGGTAGTTTACAAACCCTACACAGGTTTGGTTTTAGGGGTAGTTTCGGGTGGAGTTTAGGATTTCGGAGGCCGACGGGGGAGGGGAAATGCGCCGGCGAGATGGGCACCGGTCAGCCAAGAGGTGGGAGGTTAGGTTGGGCTAGGGGCGGCGATGGCTGGGTTGGTGGAGTTTTTTTAATTGTTTTTTTAGTTAATTAATCAAATAATATTAATGGAAACCAATTACAAGCTGCCACGTGGCATAATTAACGTAAATGACTAATATTGTTAACATATAGGGTATAGTGTGACAATTTCGTGAAACTGAATGGTATATGGTGAATTTGAAAAATGTCGTGGGTATTTGGTGAATTAAGTTAAGAGAAGGTACTGAGTGCGAACTGCCTCACATAAATTATGCGTGTGGCAGGCTTGGCTGATATGTTTCACTTGTTGGCTAAGATATTTCATTTGTTGGCTGATATGTTTTTTGTGTTAGCTAACATCAGTTGACTGATATGTTTCTTTAGTTGGCTGATATCTTTATTTTGTTGGCTTATATGTATATTTTAATTGTTGGCTTATATGTTTCATTTCGTTGGTTGTTGTGTTCATTTTGTTGGCTTAATTGTTGCTTTTGTTGGCTGATATGCTTCATTTGTTGGCTGATATATTCCTTTTGTTGGTTGATATGTATCTTTTGTTGGATGATATGTTCCTTTTGTTGGCTGATATGTTCCATTTGTTAGCTGATATGTTTCTTGTGTAGACTAATACATTTTTATTAATGTGTTATTTGTCCCTAATATTCATTTGTTGGCTGATATGGTCATTTTAATGGCTGATATGCATCATTTGTTGGCTAATATGATTAACAAACATAACATATATTTTAATTTCCTTCTTTCTCCTCTTTCCCCCTATTCCTCTCTTTTTCATTTCCTTCTCTCTCCCCTTTCCCCCTGTTCCTCTCTTTTTCATTTCCTTCTCTCTCCTATTTCCCCCTCTTCCTCTCTTTCTTTCTCTCTGTTTCAAATGACAATGGAACAACAACACCGTCCACTAAACCCACAAATATATTCAGCCACAAATCCTCAAGCCACCCCACCCCACTGATCCCACCGTCCACCGAACGCACCTCACCCACCAACCACCGCACCACCAATCACCGCATCACCAGCCGAACCCATCAACCACCACATCACCAGCCGCAAATCACCAACCACCGACGCCACTAGTACGTAATTAACCTCAAGTAACACCCGAAAAGTGTTACATAAAGTGGTAAAAGTGTTATTATAGATAATAGGTAACACTTAGTGGGTGATACATCCGCCCATGTTCCCTAAGATCTTATGTAACATTTTGGGTAACGTATGATAATACTTTTGAAAGTGTTCCAATAAACCTTCTTATGTAACACTTTTTATATTATAAGTATCATTTTTAAAGTGTTACTTTTTATTTGTTATATGTAACACTTACTTATCTTCAGTAACATTTTTCAATTATATAGTAACACTTTATCCAACATTTTGTATCACTTTTGTGAGCTAATGTAACGGCTTTTGATTATTAGATAACATTTTTCAATCATGTTTTGACATATAGTAGCACTTTATTTGACATTATGTATCACTTTTTACAAACTACTGTAACAACTTATTAATTAATAAGCAACATTTATTATTATTATTACTACTACTAAAAATACTACATGATTATTTTAAATATACAACTTTTTAACCACGAATGTAACTTTAACATATACAATAGAAAATAATTTGAATTAAAACCATTTCATAATCCTTACAAACAAGCATCCATAATCACCAGTTTTTTCGTTTGGCTAAACAATCTAATAATCAAAACAAAAACAAAGTCAACTTCAGTCTCTAGACCACCAAATTCCCAAAAACAGTCAGCGTAGTAGCGAACTGACAGCAGCACGCACAGTAATAACAGCAGATAGCAGCAGCGAGCTAGCAGTAAAAGCAGAAGCTGTACACCAGCTAGCAGTAAATGCAGCAGATCAAGACCAGCAGACAGCAATGGCAACGATAACAGCAACAGACAGCAGTAACGCCGGTAAACAGCAGTAATAATAGCAGTAACAACAAAGCAGCAGTAACAATGATAGTGACAGCTTCAGCTATAACAGCAGACAACTCCAAACTTTTTGATATGATCTCGGGAAAAAAAAGAACGTTTATCTAAGTATATCTAATCCTTCATTTTGATCCATTTAATCCAAATCTGAAAGAATGCTAATGGACCATCAGAGAGGCATGGTGTAGAGTTTATTATTGAAAGGAACTCTCACACCAGATTATGTATCATAGTTTGAAAGAAAAGCTGCACAACTTCCTTTTTCCGAGGAAATACATGAGCCTGAAAAAATATATAGAGGTTATACTTTATTACTTTATATAAGTATAAGCAGTATATAAAACAAAAAGAATAAGTTTCCTAGTTTTAGGTGGAGGTGAAACCTGTTGATGATCCCCCAATTGAATAACTACAAAATTAGACGAAACCAGTGCTGATCCACATAGCTTAATTGCCTTATGAAGTTCCTTTAGGTGACCATATTTTTGCTGCTTGATCAAACCTATAAGCAAAAAAGAAGTTGCATTTATATTCGCCTGTCCTCTTCTTAGTAGTTGGTACATATAAGGCAAAATTGGCCGCACCCTGAAGTATGGCTTAGGTGCACTGGAACTATGCGTAGTAGCCAAAACACCACCAACTATGGTGTTAGATGCGACGTGTGCCTTAAATGAAAATTTCCGGCCACTTATTTCATCGGAGGAGGTGAATCCATGCATGCTAAGTGGATGGAAGACTACATAACTGTTCTACAGAGTGAAGATTCACCTCCTCCCGGTGAAATAAGTTGCCGGAAATTTTCATTTACGGCACGCATTGCACCTACCACCATAGCTGGTGGTGTTTTAGCGCAAAGTTCAGGATGCTCAGTGCACCTAAGCCATACTTCAGAGTGTTGCGGCCAATTTTGCCTACATATAATGATATTAATAAGCAAAACAATGTAGATATCCAAAGGTCTTTTACAAACTACTCTATATATAACAAAGTTCTTCAATTCTTACCATATTCATCAAGAGGAGCATCATATTCGTAAGAAGTGGTGATAAATAGACCTCCAGCTGTTCGCCTGAAGTTTGTCCCACCATGGTACTGTTTGACATGATATTTATTAGAATAGTTTCATCGAGGATAGGTAAAACATTGGACTATAGGAAATTTACACTGTAAAAGAAGTGTACCATGTAGTAGTTCACAAAGAATCCCCCTGTCTGTATGAACCTTGCAGCAGAAAAAGCCAACTCGATAAACCTGCTCAAGATAGTATAAACAGAGAATAACCTCGTCAAAATTCTCAGCATACGGTACATGTTCAAATGCGAAGAATTAATAGAGATACTAGCCAGTCCAAGCCTCAGTCCAAAGCTTGGGCTTAAAAGGTCTGTTAGGTGTAAAATTATAGCAGTAGAAACCAATGCTAGTGTTTATCTTCCTTAGCAAGCAACACACAAAAACTCACTATGAGAACGTATAGTAAACTTAGTTATGTTACAAATAGTAAGTAGTAAACTATGAGAACGTATAGTAAGTAGTAAACTTAGTTATTTTACAAATAGTCATAACTTGGCATGCTTTTACAACATAAAATACAACGTGGTAAGCGAGACCAACAATCAATGATTCTGATTGCAAGAATGCCCTTACCAGAGGATCCGGAGTATCATCATCCTTGCACATGGTCTAGGGAACCCCTGTATCAGTACTCTGAACCATGTTTGCATCCCAATTCATGTAGTTATTGCCTTCTTATGATCTAATCCAAGTCTCACACTTAGTCTCCCATATTCATTCTCAACCTAGAGACATGGTGTTAAATTTTAATAAATGGGCATTCAAGTCATCTTATAGAACAAATATATACGAGTAGAAATTTTATCAAAACTTGATGCATTAATTGACACCTACAGCAATTGGTAGTGATACTAAGAGTTGACTTCACTAATCTTTACCTGTACGAGAACGATTGACCCACCATGAGACTCAAACAGATCATTACTCCTCAGCAAGGTTACGATTTTCTCAGTGAATCCTTGCATTGCTCTCTGCATAATCCCATTCCACATTTTCCATCAACAATTCTCATTTTTTTACTTTATAAAACAAATTGGATTGTCAACAATTTAATTAACTTCACAATAGACATGCAATAATGTAAATTTATATTCCCAACCTTAAAAGGTCGTCCATTATCATTTCTGAAGCTGATTCCTGGTACATACTTCAACCATACACGAAACCCACTACAAAATCCACAAAATTTGATCCATTAGAATATTCCAAATTTACCCCATTTTCCTTTCTTTGATCCAATTCTTACTCACCCCATTAAAATATACTAGTAATTATTAGATAATTATTTTATTATACTTGTATACCCATAATAAAAAAAAAATAATAATAATAATAATAAAAAAATAACATTCGGTTAATTAATATAAGAAATAAATAGTTACCCGAAATTCCACTCCGCCCAGACATAAGGTCTGAATCTGAGATGGGCATAGAGTCCAGCTTTCTGAACAATCTTTAAGAATCTTACCAAAACATATCATCCTTCAAAATTGTACTGAAAATTATTCAACTAAAAAGTAATAAAAAATAAATGAGGATAGAAGTGGAGTACATTGCCAGGAGAAGGCTCATGAACACTCCAAAAAACATAGGTATCAATAACTCTTCAGACCCAAAATTGCTTCAATCTTTCATTTATTTTAAACCAATTCAATTCATCACCCTAATTCAACTAAAACCCAATTAATCCCTAGCATATTTCTCTTGTATAATACCCTACATTAAGCTCCAACATAATACAGAAAAAAATTAAAACTTTAAGCTCTATTGCTAAAATAACCTACTTCAAGTCTTCAACAATCGGTTTACCAAAAAAATTAAGTCTTCAACAACCAAAATTCGAAAAACTGAATTTAACAATCGAAAATCTTAATTAGTAATTAATTTCAAAAAAATTCGACAAATAATTGGAGCAAGCAAAAAAAAAAAAAAAAAGAAAAAAAAAAAACCAAATAACCCTAGATTTGAACAACAAATCAATAATCCAACAAAGAACCCACATAAAATTAAATATTACCTGAAACGGAAAGACTCTGACCTACTCCGTGAGTAGCAACGGCCGCCAAGAATGCTAAGATCGACAGACGACGGACGTGTGGATCGTTAATTCTTCACTTGGCCCGTGTCCTAGTAGGGTAACATCCTTCATTGGCCAGTGGGTGGGGACGTGGGGTGGCCGGTGAGAACTTCATTCGCCAATGGGTGGGTGTCGGCGTGGGGTGGGCGTCGGCGTGGGGTGGCGACAGTGAGTGACCAACTGAGTTTTAAGAGAGGGAAAGAAAACTGAGATTAAGGAATTGGGAAAGAGGAAAGGAGGAAAGGAGGAAAGATAACTCGAATAAGAACTTTTTTGTTTTTATTTGTTATTTTTTAACATTTGCCACTAATATTAAAGTGTTACAACCAAATGCTACATAAAATCAAAGTGTTACAACTAAGTGCTACATAATATCAAATATTACAACCAAGTGCTATCTAATATAAAAGTGTTACAATCAAGTGTTACATAATACTAAAGTGCTACTTGGGCGCCGACGCCGCGCCATTAGAACCTCCAATTTAAATTTTTTTTTTTGATTTAGGGTTATTTATTTGTTTTAATTTGTAATTTGTTTTGATTTTGGGATTTTGGGGTTGTAGATCTGGATTATGAAAGGATGGTGAACCTACCGCTACCGCTGCCGCTACCTTCTCGCCGCATGAACTATTGGGTGCGGACTGTCGCACCCAATAATTTGTGTAAAGTTAAAACTCAAGGGTATTTGGCTTGGTGAAAAAAACCGTTATTTAAATTACTGAAGCTCCGTTTGTTTTGGTGGAAAACATTTTCCTGGAAAATGATTTTCCTTCATCTTTCCATCTTCCTCTGTTTGTTTTGATAAGAGATGGAAAACAACTTTTCTAAAGGTGGAAAATTGCACTTTAGAAAAGGAAAACTGTTTTAGAAAAAGAAGGTATGCCACATTTGTCCACGTGGCCCTATAGCATGCTGACACATGTCAGCCTCAGAGAGGTCCTAGGGGATCCAATCCTCTACTGACACGTGGCAGTTTAACCTTAAAAGGGGAACTGATCCCCTTCCACTATAAATAGAGGAAAATCCTTATTTATTACACATTCATAAATATATACACAAAACCCGAGCAATATTAATTGCAGAATTCTCTCAGAATCCGAGAGAAAAACCTTTACATTCCGCACTTTTATACATCCGAAAACGTTCTAACTTGATCGTCGGAGGCGGAACTCCACCCAGCCGGAGTTTCCGTGGTTTTGCAGGTACAAACGGTCGATGCGCATTCTAGGAATTGTAACTCTCCCGAGGGACTCCAAAAAACCCCGAAACATTTGGCGCCGTATGTGGGGAGAATACTTCCTAGATGGCATCAGAATCTGTACCGCTTGTAGAGGGCGAACGGCCTATGGCCGAAACTGAGGTCCACATAGACCAAGATAGTGGTGACGACTTTGAGGTCGACACCTACGTGGCCCTAGACGGGTCATTCACAACGAGACGCACCCGTTCCAAGGAAACAAGGGAACGGGGCGAAGACAAAGCTGGTCCTAGCAGCCCAACCGTCAAGCCGGCTGGGCGACCCCAGGCGGCGGAGGGTGCTGCCCCTGTAACTAGAGACGCACTCATGAAATTCATGATGAGTTTCAAAGGGGAGATCAAGGACTTGATAAACAAGTCAACTAACACCAACAAGGGTCAGTCGGCCAAGAAGCCTTCTCCCTCCGGAAAGAAGCATGTGAAAGATCGTGTGCCTACTCCACACCCTAAACCAAAAGGGGCGGACGGGCCCATGATCGACCTATCCAAACTTCGTTTCCCTAAATCAGGGCAAAGGAAGGCCATCCGGCAAGTTTAGTCGGATGGGTCAAAAAAGACTTACTCAGATGCCCGGATGTTCATCCAGGAGAAGAGAAGTCAACAATTGTCTAAGTCGGCCTCAACGTCGACTTTCCCAGACAGTTTTTGGAATACTTCAATGAAGTATTCAGAAACAAACCGAGAGAGTCAGTCACGCGGCATGTCCACACATACTGGCCCTCAGATTATCAAGCCGGCTCCATATGTGCCCCAACAACCATACATGCCTTATGGATCACCATACGTGCAGCCGACCCTCTTTGGGGGGTCGGGAGGCACAAAATGTCCAGCCCATGGACTGGCAGCTCCGGCTGCTAAACCTTGGGGAACAGCCGTCGGCGTTCTCCAAGGAGATAACCGAGGCGGCTCAGCCGGCCAAGGTTAAAAACGTGTTGGTTGGTACCTATGATGGTACCACCAACCCGGAAGACCACCTAATGGCTTACACCAACCTCATGTACTTATAGGGGTTAGATGATGCCACCTAGTACTGATGCTTCCCGGCAACATTGAAGGGCATAGCCCAACGATGGTTTGGCAATCTGCCAGCCGGATGCATCAACAACTTCAAGACGCTTGCATACCTGTTCGCGTCCAACTTCTCCATGAACATCCTTGCCAAAAAGATAAGTCTCGACTTGGGGGCTATTCAGCAGGGAGATAAAGAAGGGCTAAGGTCCTGTGTCAGGCGGTTCAATCTGATGAGAATTCAGATTCAAGGGCTGTCTGACAAAGTTGCTTACACAAACTTCTTCAAGGGTCTAAAGGATGGATCGACTTATAAGTTCCATCTGGTTAGAAAGAGGGTTGTTATCCTCCAAGAGGCATTGATGGAAGCCGAAGCCTACATACAAGCATCAGAGCTTTGTGCCATCAAGCACCCGTCGGACCCTAAAAATTTTGACAAATAGGAGAGCCAGTCTGCTTAGCCGGTTAAAAAAGAAGAGAGCAAGAAAAGAAAAGAAAAGAAGTCTGGGTGGCGGACCATTCTGGTCAGCCGTCCTAGAATAAAGAGAGAGAGTTGAAGTCGTACGTCCCCAAGTACGAGTTCAACAAGGACTGCTCCTCCATCCTCATGGAGACCAAAGACCGGTTGACCATTGAAAAACCGGATGCCATGAAAAGTCCCATCAAAAGCCGAGACAAGAGCAAGTACTGTCATTTCCATGAGGATATAGGCCATGACACTAATGGCTGCTATAGCCTCAAGCGGCTACTGGACCGTCTGGCTGATGAAGGGACTTTGAAGTCCTATATGCTGAAGTCCAAGGGTAACCCCAAAACAAACAATGGACAGTCGTCCAAGAAGCCAGGTATAAGCTCTGACACTGATGAAGAGCAAATCTTTACCATAGTAGGCGGCTTCGCATGAGGGGGTCCTACCATCCGGGGTACCAAGGACAACATTAGAAAGTTGGTCAACTTAGTGGATGAGGGCGAGGCGTCGAAAGACACCTTCCTTGAGGTCCTCATCTCTGAGAAGGATCGGGGCAAGGTCAGGCGGCCTCATGATGACCCTATAGTTATCGAATGCAAGGTTGCCAACCAATGAGTGGGCCTGATCCTTATTGATACCGGGAGCTCGTCTGACCTTATAAGCTATCAGTGCTTGGCGAAGCTCAAGTACAAGCTTAACAACATGCACAAGGCCTCTCACCCGTTGGCTTTGGGGGAGGGGTAGTGCATCCAGTGGGGAGGATTGACCTACCCATCCAGCTAGGAGAAAAGGGGGAGGGATGGCACATGGTCATCAAGTTCTTGGTGGTCGAGGAATTGATCGCCTATAATCTGATTTTGGGCCGTCCAACCCTCAACGAGTTCAAGACAGTCATCATCCCATCCCTCATGCTGATCAAATTTGAGAAGGATGATGGGTTAGTGGGTTCCCTGAATGGGGATCAGAAGACGGCAGGGGAGTGTTATCTCTCAGACGTCAAGCCTACTCGACCTTGATGACTTCAAGGAAGTTGCGCCTGATCCCAAAGCAGTCGGAAAAAAGAGGAAGGCGGACCACCTGGTGGCCGTAAAAAAAGAGAAGGAATAGCAATCACTGATCGGGGAGCGGTCAGATGATTTCTGTCCCCAGCCGGCTGGTGAAAATATTGACATTGTTCTAGATGACAGCCGTCCCAAACGAACCGTTAAAGTGGGGACGGTTGCTTTTGCCAAGTTGGGAGCAGATTTGCGCCAACTGCTGAAGGAATTCAAAGACATTTTTGCCTTTGAAGTGGAAGAAATTCCAGGCGTCAGCCCGGATCTTGTTGTCCACAAACTCGCCGTGGATCCAAAAAAGAAGCCGGTTAGGCAAAAGAAAAGGAATCATGGCGAGGAAAGATCTAAGGCGGCAGCCGTCGAGGTCAAGAAATTGCTGGATGTCGTGTTCATTCGACAATGCTACTACCCGGATTGGGTAGCAAACGTTGTCCTTGTCAAAAAGTTGAATGGTACCTGGCGGATGTGTGTTGATTACACAGATCTGAACAAGGCATGTCTAAAGGATAGCTATCCATTTCCAAAGATCGACAGTCTGGTCGATTCTACAACCGGTCATGCCTTGATGAGCTTCATGGATGCCAATTCAGGCTTCCATCAGATACCCTTGTGGAAAAAAGATCAAGAAAAGACGACATTCATCACTGATCAAGGGTTATTCAGTTATACGGTGATGCCATTTGGACTAAAAAATGCGTCTGCTACCTTCCAGCAGATGATTAATACGATCTTCATTAATCAAATTGGGAGGAATGTAGAGGCGTACATTGATGACATAATAGTCAAATCTAAGCTCCAAACGAATCACCTTGCTAACCTCCGAGAAACCTTCACCACCCTTAGGCGGCATAAGGTCATGCTTAATCCCAAAAAGTGTCTTTGGTGTTGAATCTGGGAAGTTTCCACTAGACGAAAAAGGTAAAAAGGCACTGGTTCAAACCCCTCCTTTGGCGCTGGTTTTGAACCGTTGGGGATTTGAGGGATGCCAAATCCATGAAAATTTGGCATCGGTTCGAAACCGGTGCCAACTAAAGCATTTAGCACCGGTTAACCGGTGCTAAGTACATGATTTGGCACCGGTTAACCGATGCCAACTACCATGGCGCGAATTTTTTATTTATTTTCAAAATTATTGGCACCGGTTCAAAGCAAGAACTGGTGCGAAAAGCCCCACTTTAGGCACCGGTTCTTGCTTTGAACCGGTGCTAAAAGTCTCAAAAAAAATTTTAAAAAAACTTTTGGCACCGGTTCTGGTTCAAACCAGCGCCAGAAATACCCAAAAAAAAAAACAAATTTTTGCATTTTTTTTCACTTAAATTGATATAGAAACATTAACATATATATAAAGTTACATATTTTCATTAAAAAAGGCTGTAATATTACAATTTTCGTTCAAAAAAAATTAAATAATCCAGACTTATCTCTGAGTACCTTTCTTGCATTTCTTTAAATAATCCAGACTTATCTCTGTGTTTCTGCTCTAATGGCTGTGGCTGTGTTTCTGCTCTGATGGTAGTGGCTGTTCTGCTTCCGTGGCTGTGTTTCTGCTCTGTTCAAGCTGGCTGGGTGATTGGTTTTGCTTCTGTTCAGGCTGTCTCTGTCTTTGTGCTGGTGGCTGCTCTGCTGGCTGATGTGTTGTGTGTTCAGGCTGACCTGCTGCTCGGTTGTTTGCTGTGCTGCTGTTTCTGTTCTGCTGCGCTGCTGTGCTGTGCCTCTGTCCTGTTCAGGCTGGCTGGGCATCTATTAAATACCTTCTTCATCTCCTGCTGGTATTCCAAAATTTTAGGTTCAGTAACAGTCCGGAGTAATTTAACTAGAAAGCCATGCTTCACTGATGAGTTGGTATCTACAAATATTGCGATTTTCTTCAGTAGTCTATGACATCTTCAAAAGGCAATTCAATATGGTCACTGACTATAACTGGAATGCACAGGCTTACAATGGCGTCAAAGAACCGGTGCTAAAGGGGGGTGCTTATTTCAGGTTTTCAGGAACCGGTGCTAAAGGGGGGTG